GTGAGGCAAATGCCTGGAAAATATTTTTATGATAGAAAATCTCTCTGGGCTGAGAGGAGCCCACTGTGTCATTGCAGCTGACATAGGCTCCTCTCTCGAAATTGATTGAGAGGAGAGAGACAATTGCCAGGTCTAAACTCAAAACTTCCTGATTCTAATGTCTGGTGTCAATTTTAATTTTCTGATTTAATTAGTTTCCTAATTAGAAGGGTTAAATTAATTAACCTCATTATTTACTATATATTTAATGATTTTGCCTCTGGAGGGATTTACTTCATTTTCAATAATTGGAAAGCTCATGACAAGAGGGAATATCGGCATATCTTACGCTTATTGTTTTAGGATGAGCATCCGGCCTAGGACAGAAGGGAGGGAATTTTAGGTGAGGGATCAGATGCAGCCAGAAAGATGGCTTCTCACTTGTTTGGAAACAAGACATTTGTAAAACTTGCATTGAGGCTCAATTGTTACTATCAATTCAGAGTTCAACAGAGCACCATCCTTCAGCTAGAGCCAAAGGAACCTTATACCATAGAATCCTCTATTACAATAATCAGCTCTGAGCCAGCCTAGACGGCATACACCTTTAATCCTAGTTTGTAGACATACGAGTTTGAAGCCAGCCTGGTCTACTTAGCAAGTCCCAGGACAGCCAAGGTTACACAGTGAGACCCTGTCACTCATCTGCCACAGTGTCCCTCTCGTGGTTTTGCGCATTGCAAATGCCCTCTTCCCACCAGACTGCACCCCAGGACTTTCTGCAAACACACCCAGATCTGCCTCATGCCTGGCTTGATTCCCTCTGAAAGGAACCTGTCTTGTCTCCTCTTATTCAAATGTCCCTGTCTGATGGCATCTCTGATGCCTAGAGACTATTGCCCCCTCTTCTGAACACACAGGGATTTGAACAGATGGTACAGTAGTGCCCCACAGCATGGATCAAGGATGACAAGCCCAGCCTAATCTGGGATAGCCTATCTCAACTACTGGGATAGCTAGTGTGATGTGTGATACCTGATACCTAGGAATTGGGGGCGGGGCAGATATATAAAGAGCTGAAGGGTGCTTTTTGAATTAAACATTGTCACTCCTGGGGACTTTTCATGTTAGTTTTAAGGCTGCATGGAAGATAATATTATTTAAAAGTTTTAAACTTAACCCTTCTATGAAGCTGCTTTGCTATTGACTATTGAATTTTACTGTTCAAAAGAGATTAATTTTGTTATTTTGTGTAGTGTGGTGTGTGCTTTTATATACTGAGCTATTTTGTTAGCTGGAATTCAATTTTAAGATTTATTTTGTTTTTTATTTATGTTTATGGGCAGGGTGTACACCTTTGTGTGGTGTTCTTGGAGGTCAGAGAGGGAGTCAGCTAGAGTTAGAGGTGGTTGTAAACTACCCAGTGTGGATGCTGGGAACCAAACTCGGGTCCTCTGAAAAGCATCATGCACTTCTCACTGCCAAGCCATCTATCTCTCCAGCTCCTGAATTTTACTTTGTAGATTAGGAAATAACTTGAGAGAGATTAGGGCTCCTGTGGACTTTTTTCTTTTTTCCCCCAGTCAAGGTCCGGAAGTCACAGGTGGTGTCTTTTCAAATCTGCATGGTAGAGTGGACAACAATCCTAAGACACTATGGTGTCTAGGTGCAGATGAACTAGGCTTTGGCTCGATGAAACTTTATGCACAGTAACAAGCAATGGGCCATGTATGACCGGTGGGCTGACTCTGGGTTGAGGCTTCCAAGGTCACAAGCCAGCAAGTAAAATAAACAAAGACAACACCCAACAGGTGTTCCCCACCCTAGCAGCCTCAGTGCCCAAGTACAATGCAGTCTACTTCTATGATAATCTCTGGACTCACGAGGTCTGTTGGAATGCTTGACCATCAGGAAGACGGGGGAATTCAACTAATTAATTAGTCAAGACTTTGAAACCCACAGAGAAAAGGACCTCATATTAAGTGCAAACTATCATCCTAACTAATATATTTGTGGCACTTTCATTAAATTTTCTCTCAGATCTTGAGAAATATGTATCTCCTGGCTGCCAAGAGTTTCGTCTTAGCATAATTATGAAGCCTCCCCAAATAGCCATGTTTCACTTTGTGGTCCTCAGTGGGGGATGGTGCCAGCTGCTGAGACTTGATGGAGCTGTTTAATTTGAGACTTATTAGTTCAGCCCAGGTGAAAATGAGTAGCCTTAGTGAAATTTGTTCGCTGAGCAGAATATATGACTGCCTGTGGTGAGGCAAGCTCATGGAAAAGGAGTAATGATATTCTACGAAGAGTGAAAAGGTCCTACCATAATAAACACAGAGATTAGGGACATTGTCACAACATTAAAGAAAACCATTTCAATTACAAAATAGGGTACTTTAACATTTGGTAAACATTTATCTTGTTTTTTACGCTTTTGTTTTTATTGGAAATAGATTTTTTTATGTCACATAATGCATCCTGATTATGGTTTACCCTCCCTCTGCTCCTCCTAGATCCTCTTCCTCTCCCCTCCATCTGGATCCACCCCCTTTCTGTCTCTCATTAGAAAACAATCAGGCTTCTCGGGACAATAATAAAGCCAAATAAAACATAATCTAATCAGATAAAACAAAAACTAACACATCAGAGCTGGACAAGACAAACAGAAGGAAAAGAGCCCAAGGAAGGCACAAGAATCAGAGACCCACTCGCTTGCACACTCAGGAAACCCATAGGAACACCACACTGGAAATATGTATGAGCCAGTGCAGGCCTGCACACATGTGACTCCTGCAGGCCTGTGCATGCCGTTTCGGTCTTGGTGAGCTCGTGGGAGCTTTGGTCATGCTGATGTAGAGGACTTTGTCTCCTTGGTGTCCCTGTATTTGTTCCTAGATGCTGCAGGGGGAAGCATCTCTCATGATGGCTGAGAAAGACACCAAACTACGAGTATAGCAGAATGTCATTAGGGATCATTTCATTGCTATGTGTTTTCTGAAACAGTAGATTTTGGTTTTACCCTAAGTCCCTGGTTTTACCCTAGTCTCTGGATCTTGGTCATTCAAGCAGTGTAGAGTATGCATTCTATCTTGTGGAATGCGTCTCAAGTCAAATCAGATATTGGTTGGTAACTCCCACAAGCTTTGTGCTATCATTGCCCTAGCGTATCTTGTAGGCAGGACACCATTGTAAATCAAAGGGTTTGGGGATGGCTTGGTGTGCAGAGTAACTTCCTGTACCAAAGATGACAGAGTGTAGGGGAGAAGGCTCTATGTAGGCACCATCTCGACTTCTCTATGTTCAGTGAGTTGTGTAGGTGTTGTCTTTAGCATTGGGGCCTTACTCTCAGTTGGTGGAGAGCAACCTATAGTCTTAGCCATATCCTTGGTTGTTTGGGATTCTCTTGGTACCCCTTTAGCCAACGGCTCAATTACCTGTAACCCAATCCTGGTACTGGAATCTTCATTTGGTAAAGAGATGGCCAGTTGAAACTCTGTTTCCTCCATTATTTGGTGATTTCATTTAGATCACTTTTATTTATGTTCATATTTTAGGAAGTTTCAACTATATTTGGTTTCCATATTACCCCTTAAATGGCCCCTAATTTTAGCTGTCTCATCACCCTGTGTTCCCTCTCATACCCCTTCCCCCTCCCACTCCCCCCTTAATCTTCCCATTCCAGTTCTGCTCCCTTTTTAGCACCACTTTCACTGTGTCCCATAAGTTTGGGTATGTTGTATTTTAATTTTCATTCAAGTCTAGAAAGTCTATATTTCTTAATTCCTTCTTGGCCCACTTTTCCCTCAGTAGTAAATTGTTCAGTTTCCATGAATTTGTAAGCTTTCTGCTGTTGATGATCTCCAGCTTTAATCCATGGTGGTCAGATAGGAAGCAGGGTGCTATGTAGCACAAAAAATAAAAGGCCCAGAGACAGGTATTGGGGTTCAAGCTTCAAGCTGAAGATCAGAGAAGCAAAGCAGCCAAGCCAGTAGACCTTACCTCTACCCAGCTGAAATGGCAGTCCTGCTTCCAGGAATCCTCAGAGGCAAAAGCTCTCAGTTCCTGTCTCCTCCTTGTATTCCTTTCTCTGCCCAGCCATATCACTCCTGTCTCCACCTCCCTAGTGCCAGGATTAAAGATATGAGCTCTTTTTCTTTTAGACTGATTCAAGCCCTGGGTAGCCTTGAACTCAGAGTGATCCATCTGCCTTTGTCTCTTAACTCCTGGGATTAAAGGTATGTGCCACACTGCCTGGATTCTATGGCTAAGTAGTATGGCTGCTTTGATATTTTGATCTCTAATGGCTTTAATAAATCATAAACAATATACCACCACAATGTTATTTCAATTTTCTTGTTGGAGTCTTGCTTTGTCTCTGAGTATGTGATCAGTTTTGAAGAAAGTTCTATGAGGTGCTGAGAAGGTATATTCTTTTTGTTGTTATTGTTTTGTTTTTCAGGGTTTCTCTGTGTAACAGCCCCAGCTGTCCTGGAACTAGCTCTGTAGACCAGGCTGGCCTCCAAAGTATATTCTTTTCTGTTTGGGTGAAATGTTCTGAAAACATCTGTTAGGTCCATTTGGTTTATAACATCAGTCAGCTACAGCATTTCTGTGCTTAAGTTTGTCTGAATGACCTTTCTATTGGTGTGAGTGGGTTATTGAACTCTACCACTATCAGTACGTGAAGGTCAGTGGTGTTTCTTTGACAAACTTGGGTGCCCTTGTGATGTTAAGAATTGAAATGTCGGGGCTGGAGAGATGGCTCAGAGGTTAAGAGCATGGACTGCTATTCCATAGGTCCTGAGTTCAATTCCCAGCAACCACAGGGTGGCTCACAACCACCTTGAATGGGATCTGGTGCCCTCTTCTGGTATGCAGATATACATGGAAGCAGAATGTTGTATCCATAATAAATAAATAAATAAAGTCTTAAAAAAAAGAATTGAAATGTCTTCTTGAAGTTTTTCCTTTGATGAGTATATAGTGTCCTTCTCTATCTCTTCTGGTTTGTTATTTTTTCCCCACCCAGACCCAAAGTGTTCACTCATTAGGTGAACTCTGTTGACAAAAACTTACCATCATTGTAGTCTTCTGGTTAGTCTTTGTTTTAAGTCTATATTGCCAGATATTAATATTGCTACACCAGCTTGCTTCTTATGTCCATTTGCTTGGAATATCTTTTTCTATCCTTTTACCCTGAAGTGATATTTATCCTTGATAGTAAGATGTGTTCCTTGAATGCAGCAGAAGGATGGGTCTTGTTTTCTCCTCCATCCTGTCTGTGTATTTTTATTGGGGAACTGAGAATGGACTGGAGTAGGGTGAGGCCCTCAGAGGGAGGAAATCAGGGTGTTCCAGCAGGATCTGTCTGCTTGGTCTCCTGGGAATGGGGGCAGAGAGAGGGAAGGCCACAACAGAAGGTCTGTCACAGAGCTGAACACGAGACTGGGAGGACTGGATTCAGAGAAGACGGTGGATGGGTGAAGTTTCTGTTTTGTTTGTTTGTTTGAAGACAGGTCTCATGTAGCCTACACTTACCCCTAAGTAGCTGAGAATGACCTTGCCATGACATTTACAGACCCCCTCCCCACTATCATGGAAGAGGAATTGAAACTGACATGAGACCCAGAGGATGGGGAAATGTGGAGAAATGCTGTCTTCTGAATAGGACACGGCCATTGCACTCATGAACTCACAGTAGCTGTGGTTATCTGCACACACCTAAACAAAATCACCGTTTCAGCATGGACAGGGGGAGAGGGTGATGCATGAGGCCCCCACCTCCAGCTAAGGAGGTAGCTATTGGTCCTTGATGGCTGCAGAAGGACAAGGAAGTCACTTCAGGGGAGTGTGGCCTCTGGTTGCCTGTACTCTGGCATTCAAATGTGGGCAGCACTAATTGAACTCAGTGGATCATTAAAAAAAAAAAGACGTCTGAAGAGGAGAGGCATGTGGTGGGAAGGTGCAGGGGGAATGAGACTAGAGTTGGGGATGGTATGATCAAGATACATTATATGCATGTAAGAAATGCTCACGCCGGGCGTTGGTGGCGCACGCCTTTAATCCCAGCACTGGGGAGGCAGAGGCAGGCGGATCTCTGTGAGTTCAAGGCCAGCCTGGTCTCCAGAGCGAGTGCCAGGACAGGCTCCAAAGCTACACAGAGAAACCCTGTCTCGAAAAACCAAAAAACAAAAAAATAAATAAATAAATAAAATAAATAAAAAATAAATAAAAATAAATAAAGAAAGAAGAAATGTTCAAAAATAAAATATTCTGAAATTTTTGTTTGTTTGTTTTTGAGACAGGGTTTCTCTGTGTAGCTTTGGAGCCTGTCCTGGCACTCGCTCTGGAGACCAGGCTGGCCTTGAACTCACAGAGATCCATCTGCCTCTGCCTCCTCAGTGCTGGGATTAAAGCCTTGCACCATCACCACCCTGCTCAATAGTCATTTATTCTCAGCATTTTGACCAGCTAAGGGTCTGCATTAACCACTGTCCAATGCAAAAAAGAAGCTTTCCTGACTAAGGTTACAGTGTTAGGTTTTTGCTTAAATTAGAAATCGAGAGATGGACACGAACTGTAGAGAGCACATTAACCAGTTTATTATAGGGCGGGAGAGCGAGAGGGGGAGAGAGAGAAATGGAAGAATAGAGCAGGGCGGAGAGTAAGAGAGAAGAGAGTTAATGGTCGACAGCGAGAGAGAGAGAGCGAGCGAGAGAGCGAGAGAGAGAGAGAGAGAGAGAGAGAGAGAGAGAGAGAGAGAGGGGTGGGGGTGGAGGTGGAACTTCTAAAGGGAAATTCGCGCATGCATACTGCGGTTCCACACATGCAGAGTCCTCACACAGGTCCGTAATGCATGACGAGTGAGAGTGATGGTGTAGCATATCCCTGTGCGTGCCCCGCCCATCGTCAGGAGGTGGGGTCAGCCTGGGGTCAGCCAGGTGTCGGTCCTAACATACAGCGGCACTAATCTATATGTTTAAACATAAAGATTTAGTAAAACAATAGTAGTAGGTTCCTCCCTAGAGCCTATGACCTTAGTCATGGACTTTGGACCAGGTTCACAGTACCACTACCAGGCATAAATTCTCTCCTACGGAGTAGGTTTCAAATCCCTACAGAAAGTAATTGGTTACCCCAATAATAGTCACGTCACTATTGTACCAATAGATACACTTTTGCCTGGCAAGTCAGTCTAGTAGCATGTAGGATTCAGTGCATGATAAGACATTGATGACTTTTCTTCCCCAGAGGACTGCTCAGCACCTTCTGGCAGTAACTATGAAAGCCAGCTAGAAGGTCGGGAGGTTTCCAGGTCAGTTCCAGACCGAATTCTCTATGTCTTGCAGCTAAAGTGTATTGTGTTTTCAACAATGGGGTCTTACTGCTAATCATGGTGGACAACAAAGAGAAACAGCAATAGACTCTGTTGTTTTGGGGGGCCTCTAAACCTTCCATGAGATTTTCACTTCATAGTCCGTATTTTCTGGAAGAAGCATTGTCTGGACATGTAGGTACCTCTTTGTGTTCAAACTCTTTTTGAAAATAAAATTACAGTTTCAATTAGCTTACAAAATAATGGATTCTGTAAGGCTTTTTAATATATCTTTAGTTTGGTTAACCAACTCCCAGATCCCTCTTGTCTTTCATCCTCTTACACGGGCCCCCACTTAAACCTCTAACACTAGCATTCCCCACCCCCCTACTCTCATGCCACGTGACTTCTAAAATCCTCTCCCTACAATGGCCTTGTCCGCTCCCTTCTCACGAGCTCTTTCTGTCTTTCTAACCTCTACAGACACTCAAAAGCAAGCATAGAAACTAAAATGCTGACACTAGGATCTGCACATGAGGGAACCGTGTGGCATTTGTCTTTCTGGGACTGGTTTACCTCACTTAGTGTGTTATATTCCACCGTTATCCATTTCTCCTACAAATTTCATTTTCCTTATAGCTGAATAAAATTCTGCACACACTTTCATTATCCATCCATCCATTAGTTGATGTTTTAACACAAAGAGAAAACGCACTCAAAATTAAAACATTACTTTCTGTTCGTTATATGTGTTTTTGTTTTTCAAGACAGGGTTTCTCTATGTAGCCTTGGCTGTCCTACAGCCAGCTCTGTTGACCAAGCTGGCCTCACGCTCAGAAAGATCTGCCTGCCTCTGCCTCCTGAGTGCTGGAATTCCAGATGTGTGCCTCCATGGCCTGGCTTAGTACATAACTTCTTAAATGAAATTTTCTTTCAGTATTTTTATCTGAACAGTATTTGAATGTTAGGTTTGAAACAGGTTTCAAGGCTTTACATCCAAAGGGGTACCCCAGTCACTCAAGACACATTATCAGGCATATTAAAAACCCAAACACATGAATGTTCTAATACTGTACTGTCTTAGTTTGCTTTCTGCCGCTGTGATAAGACATGACCAAAAGCAACTTGGAGAAGTGCGTTGGTTTGAATAGGTACTAGGAATGCCCCCATAAACTCATGGGTTTGAATGCTTGACCCATAGAGAGTGGCATTATTAGAAAGCGTGGCCTTGTTGTGTTAGACCCCCGAAAACTCAAGTATCCGGGGTCCCAGGCCACGTTCTCGGTCACCCCAATCACCAGGCGGATTCGAGAGCTTGCTGCAAACTGCACGAGGCTTTATTGTAATTTAACGAACTAACCCCATGTTAGCTCGGGTCTTTCACCCACCTGCCATGGCGGATGGCTCGCAAAAGACGGCTCCTAGGGGCTCCCGAAAGATCTTATAGGACAGCGTAAGGGGAGTGTCTAGGGCTATGCACAGGCTCACGATTGGTGTGCCTCCAGGCTTGGAGGGCTTGCCTTGCCCTGTGTTGATTGGTCAACTGGTTGTTATGGCCCATAGGCCCTCCCAGGGTGGTTGCTATGCTCTCTATATCATTGCTGTGCGCTTGTCCGTAAAGCACACCCAGGGTCGTAAAGCATAGCGCCACCAGCTAACTTCCGATTGGTTCCTTGTCACGAGACAGGCATCTGACCTCTAAGTGACCAAGGCAGGTTTATGGCTGTTATGGCTGCCGAAAGGGAAGCTGGTCCCTTCAGTTGGAAGAAGTATGTCACTGTGGAAGTGAGTTTTGAGGTTGCATATGCTCAAGCCAGGCCCTAGTATGGAATTCACTTCTGCTACCTGCAGATCAAGATGCAGAACTCTTAGCTTTCTCCAGCACCGTGTCTGCCTGCATGCTGCCATGTCCTGCCATGACAATAATGGACTTAACTAACTAAGACAGGGAAGAAAGGACTTATTTTAGTTTATGGTTCCACATCACGGTCTTATCCCTGAGGGAAGTCAGGGCAGGAACCTGGAGGCAGGAACTGATGCAGAAGCCACGGAAGAATGCTGCTTACTGACTTTCTCCTCACTGAAGAACTGGGATGTCATAATGTAAACTGAAATAAACCCTTTCCTCCCCAAGTTGCTTTTGGTCATGTTGTTTTTATCACAGCCATAGAAACCCTAACTAAGCAGAAACTGGTACCAGGTCTTGGAGTATTGGTGTGACAGATCTGCCCATGTGTTTTGGGGAGGATTGTGGTGGCATTTGGACCCTGGGCTAGAAAAGCCACCGAGTGCTCAGAGCTTAATGAACTGTTATAGGAATTTACAAGATGATGCTGAGAGCATCGCCGCAATCGGAAGGCCTGCCTTGTGAAGTTTTGGAGGAAGGCAAAGGTTTTACTGGGGCTGTTTGTGTGATAGAAACTCTAAGACAGTGTTGCATTTTACCAATGAGGCTCACGAGGAATTCTGTCCTCAGTGGCAAAGCGGTTCGTTTTCTTCACTTAAGGATGTCTACTCCTTAGAGAGACAGAGACTCTAAGAGCATGACTAGTCTGGAGCACGATGTTACAGGATGAATCAGAAAGGGCACATCTAAGACCTAAACATAAGACCCCAAACTATTAAACACTAGAGGAAAACAGGAACTGCTCTAGAGCCTTGGTATCATTTTTTGTTTTGTTTTGGTTTGGTTTGGTTTTTTTCCAGACAGGGTTTCTCTGTGGCTTTGGAGGCTGTCCTGGAACTAGCTCTTGTAGACCAGGCTGGTCTCGA